GGACGATCATAAAGCCAGCTGTGATTTCAGTAGACAGAAGGTGGTCCACCGTGAGTGGGTCAGTGAAAGCAGATAAAAGGTTAGGGCATTCAAGAGTACCTGTGGGGTTGCGATAAGGCCCGTGTGAAACCCCTGAGAAAAGCCTGTCACTAGATAATCTACCAGGTGCCTAGCTGAATGTGACTGGAGATAGTATTCCAGGATGTCAATGTTAACCTCGGTCAGGTGTTTCTTAGGTGACAGAAGGGCTGGGCAAGTGGACTTAGTGTGGACTCTGAAGCATATGTAGCAGATGTGCTGTGCCTGCGTGTCGTGAGATTACATACCCCCGCATTAAAGTCGCTACATACCTGAGCCTTGCCCAGAAATGAAATGGGACTGTCCGGCGTGTCTCTCTGCCTGCCACCATCACTAGCGTGTGGGGTGAGGGGTTGGTGAAACATGGAAGTGACTGTCGTGTAAGTGAGCATAGTTTGGGAGGTCAGCAGTAGGGCCATGGTGTTAACGTATTTTCCCTTGGGAACGCCCATTCTGATGGACCCTGGGACAGGGTGGACAGGGGAAACATAAGAAGTGGGTATGGCTGAGACCTTCACAGGAAGGTTTGCCGAGCCCATCTGGAGAGGCTATAGCGGATTCAAGTTTCGCTAGTCTGTGATTGATCATTTGGAGGTTGGTGAGTATAGCTACCAGAGTGTCTCATGTGGAATCCGAAGTGTGAGCTGGCAAGATTTGTGAACTACAGCCTGGCCAAGAAACGTTGGCCTAAGAGGTCATTAACCTGTACAGTTCGGCCATTCTGGCGGTGGCAGGAAAGGGGATACCCCTGCTTCTGAGTTCTGCTGAGATTTTTGGAATGGTCCAGTAATTCAGGGACCTGTGGGTAAAAGGGGTGAGGGGTTTCTCCGGAGACCCAGGCCTGAGTGACGCGCTTGGTATGTTATCCGATGGTAGATTGGTGATCGGTTCTTGTGACATCTGAAAAAAGGAACATGCTTTGAATAAGTAGAGTGAAGAGGAGGTGAAGGTGAGACTTCCGGAGAACTGGCCTGCTAGCTAGTGCCGAGGCAAAGAATTTACCTAGACCAAGTGACAGGTGAGGCCCTGCTAGTGCAAGTGGCAGAGAGAGGCTTTACCTATGATTTGGCCTGAGGGGGTTTTGTGGCCACATGCACGTGGTGGCAGGGTGTAGGCCTCTCGGTGACCATATAGAGAGTCAAAACGTGTGGCTGTGACTTGGGAAGCCCTAGCTATAGCCCACAAGAATGGTGAGCGAGGTGGCTAACTATGATTTGGTCGTGGGCCGAACCTCCGTGTATGAGGTGGGGGTGTAGACCTCGTGGGACCGGGTATTAATTTGATAGCTAAGTTCAGAACCTAACCCTAGGATCCAGTTCTCTAACTTACTGGGGCTTGTCTCTTGCAATGTTGTATATGTACGTATGTAAATACTAACCTTGAGTATGAGTCCTGTTTGTTTGGACAAAGCACATGGAGACTTCGATGAGGCTTTAAATTAACTTCTGCAGGAAACGGGCTTGGTCCGGAACCTAATGGAAAAGAAGATGCTAGTGGGCCTGAGGGTTGCCACCGGCGAGCCAAGTGTGAAAATATAGACCGTATGGATAAGTGTGCAGCAGAGATACTGTATCGTAAGCATGAGTAAACTAAGGGACCTGAATATTGGTCCGTAACCTGAACGTTGGTAAAAAATAAGAGACAAGCCCCTGGGTTCCCAGAGATGTGAATTTGTGAATAATACGAAGACGAAGTGAGGCCTCAAGGAGACGGAGTTTGTAAAGAGAACGATAAAAATACCTGGTACTGAGTGCCGGAGACCGAGTAGCCTGTTGTTGTTAACGTAGTTGGACTGTGTAAAACGACGTAGGTCAATTGTATGTAGAAACGATAAACAGTAAACAATAGGTTAATATAATAGCAGCATGGTCGTGCAGGTTTATGAGAATAGTTGGTGACTAGGTGAGGAGTCTTAAAGCCTGGGGGGGTTTACGTAAGGCCGTGGAGGCAGAAAGAGGCGTAAAATTGGGAAAACCTTTTTACCTGAACAGTGAAACTGTATATCACTTCCTGAAGATTTATCTTGCAGCAGAGTAGATGAACTTAAAACACATGCATACTAAGTATGAGGACCCAGGAAAAAAATTTTATTTAAGGAACAGAGAGTTGCCGTATGAATTACCGGTCTGAAATGAGCCTGAGAAATGGGGTTGGCGGTGGGTTAGCCCCATGATATAAAAGTGTTAATAGGTCAACTGTTCCTTTAAGCGGAATTCCCTTGAGTGGAAACCGAAGAGTGCTGGGAATTGTTCATAATTAAATGTAACGGTGGGAAAATAGTGCTACACAGATATTTTAATATACGGGGAGAAGAAATAATTTATACAGTTTTTTTATAGGAAATAGTTATAGTACAGTTATATACTGGGGTACATACATAATTTAACCCCTTAAGGACACATGACATGTCATGATTCCCTTTTATTCCAGAAGTTTGGTCCTTAAGGGGTTAAAGAGAATACCACTTAAACCTCCCGCGTTCGGCTAAACGAATGTGTGAGAGGGAATTAACACATACAACAATTTGCAGTCTGTTAGAGTACACAAAAGGCTACCTAAAACTATACGAACGTGTGAAACAGCCGAACATAGGGTAAGTATGAGTGGTGAGTACATAGACGAACGAGAAATTAGGCTGTGTGAACTTCTGCGTTCGGCTAGTTAAACGCACAAACGCGGAAGTATACGAACGGCGTAAGGCACAAAACGGGTAAGTAATAAAGGGAGCCTATCCCCACGTTTTTAGGCCCGAACGTGGGAAAATAGCCGAACGCCATTTCCCACGTTTGTGCTTACGTGTAGGTGCCGGTCTCGTGACCGGAAGCCGGAATGCCGGAAAAACGAGTAACAAAGGCGGATTAGAAGCCAGTGAAGGAGCCCAGAGGCCGGTGACAGGAGCTGGACTGGATACTCGAGGCAGGATTTTGGTGGCAACCTTGACCGGAAGTGCAGGTAACTAAGGAGACAAACGGCTTGCAAGACAAAGGTAAGTAGGGGGGTAGGGTTTATATAGGATCATAACTCCTCCCACAAATTCAGGCCAAATGGCCTTCCAACATATATATAAACTGGTATGGGCAGACAATCACACATACACATCTACAGTCAGCAACCCACATAGTTTAAGGTAGTCAGACATACACACAAACACACACATACACAGGTACAGGCAAACCGTCTCAAATATACAGCCACCCACACACTTACAGGCAAACAGTCACAAACACAGTCACAGGCAAACACAGACACACACAGAGTTACAGACAGACAGTTACACACACACACACTTACAAGCAGACAGCAAACACTCACGGTTACAGGCAACACAGACAGACACAGTTACAAGCCGACAGTCACCCACACACACACACACAGAAACGCACAGAAACACAGTTACAGATAGTCACACACAGAGAGTTACAAGCAGACACACATAGATACAGTCAGACAGTTACCTCTTTCCATTATGGACTGGCGGGGGATAGCAGAGGCACTGCAGTTCCTGAATTCTAACAGTTGGGGAAGCAGGGACTCCTTACTACTTCCCTCTCAGTGTGCAGAAGTTACCAGGCAGCGGGTCTCCGCCCCATTTAGCGCTGCTCCTGCACATAGCACCCTCAGACACACACAGCACTCTCACACTAACAGCACCCTCACGCACACACAGCACCCTCACGCGCACACACAGCATCCTCATGCACACTCAGCACCTTCAGACACACTCAGCACACAAAAATTAACAGCACCCTCACACACACACACACACAGCACACTCAGACACACACAGCACCCTCACACACTCAGCACCCTCACACACAGCACACACACACATCTATAAAATAACCCTCAGTGAGTTAACAGAGAAAGAAAATTACGCACATCAAATGTGATGGCAGATAAGAACACCCTCACACACTGCACCCCTCTTACACACACACACTGCACCCCTCTTACACACACATGCTGCGCCCTTCACACATACACACAGCACACCCAACACACTACGACCCTCACACATCCAATACATCCAAACATATATACTACAGCACCTCTCACACTGCACTGCTACACACATTACACTCCAGATACACGCTAGATCCCTTACCCAACTCTGGATCATCTAATCTACAAACACACACATACACACAGTAGATTCCCATATACACTCTGAATCAGGGCCGGACTGGCCCACCGGGATACCGGGAAATTTCCCGGTGGGCCGTGGCACTTGAGGTTGCACAGTGCAGCAGCCCTTCCTCTCTCCCACCCAGTACACACACTCACATTGGGGGTACTGGGGAGCACAGGTCTCCTCTTACCTCTAGAAGAGGCTTTCCTTATCCACTCGCGAGCAGCAGGTGCAGTAAATAGAACTTTCAATGCTGCTCGCGAGCCTTGAGTAAGTGCAGGGAGGATGGAAGTCTCTATCCCTGACTGACAGTCTTCACACACAGGAAGCATGTGATCTGGCAATCAGGCAGAGCAGGGCAGCCCACATGTCTTCCGAAGGCTTGCTTCCTGTGTGTAAAGTTCTGTCAGGCAGGGAGCCCTGTGAGAGAGCTGGAGGGAAGCTGCTGGGAAGGAGCAAGGTAGGCTCAGTGAGCAGAGGCACCTAGGCATTTCATTTTAATTGTACTGATTCTTAGAGTGTTTATATTTGAGGGTGTAGTTGTGAGTGTGTTTGGTGTGTATTTTTGTAGTGTGTGTGTCAGTATGGATCAATGTGTGTGTGTGTGTGTCAGTATGGATCAATGTGTCAGTGTGGATCAATGTGTGTGTGTGTGTGTGTGTGTAAGTATGGGTCAATGTGTGTGTGTGTGTGTGTGTGTGTGTCAGTATGGATCAATGTGTGTGTGTGTGTGTCAGTGTGGATCAGTGTGTGTGTGTGTCAGTATGGATCAATGTGTATGTGTGTGTGTGTTTGTCAGTGTGGATCAATGTGTGTGTGTGTGTGTGTGTGTCAGTATGGATCAATGTGTCAGTGTGGATCAATGTGTGTGTGTGTGTGTCAGTATGGATCAATGTGTCAGTGTGGACTAAATGTGTGTGTGTGTGTGTGTCAGTATGGATCAATGTGTGTGTGTGTGTGTCAGTGTGGATCAATGTGTGTGTGTGTGTGTGTGTGTCAGTATGGATCAATGTGTCAGTGTGGATCAATGTGTGTGTGTGTGTGGCAAAACTAGCCACTAGAGACTATTAATGTATTAGTATGTGTGTATTCTTGCTAAGCCATAAAGATCAGTGCAGGATGCTATTTGTATTTCTGGCGAATGAGGGCATTCGTATGCTGGCGGTAGGAAAACCCCAGCATTCATACTGTAGTTTCACACTCTCTACAGCCCCTAGCCATACATATTACACCACACACACAAATGAAATCAACCTATTTACACAATACCACACCACAATCAGCTCACTCTACACACACGCAATCCCACAAGCAGGCTCCAAATACATGCACGATACGCTTTCCTGGCTCTTTTGTCCTCTGGTATCCCACTTATGGAGACACCAAAGACAAGTTAAAAGCAAACACAGTGCAAGCATGTTATTAAACTTGCTTGCGCTGCGCAGAACAAATACAGGGCCTTTTTCTCATGCTAGAGCTCTTCAGCAGAGCTCTGCGCATTAAACTAACATGTTTACTTTGAGAGGGGGCGTGCTTGTCATTAGTGATGACAAAACACACCCTCTTTGGCCCCGCCCCCTTCTCAGGGGGCTGCTCTGATTGAAAAATGCCCGGGCCAAATTTTTTTCCCTGTCAAGGAATGCCATTGCCATGAATGGGCCTATGTGGTCTGCAACAATTTCTAAGTAGGTGGTACGTGTCAAAGTAACATCCATATGAATAACAGAACCCAATGTTTCCCAGCAAAACATTGCACAGGGCATAACACTGCCTACAACTGCCTGTCTTCCCTCCATAGTGCATCTTTCAGGTAAACGATGAACATGTACCCGGTCTTCCACCTTATCTAAAAGAAAATGTTCATCTGACCAGACAACCTTCTTCCATTGCTCCATGGTTTAGTTCTTATTCTCACATCCCCATTGAAGATACTTTTGGGGGTTGGCAGGGGTCATCATGGGCCCTGACCAGTCTGCAGTTACACAGTCTCATATGCAGCAAACTGCAATGCACAGTGTGTTCTAAAATCATTCTATCATTAGACAATCAGACAGGCTATCCTTCGCTACCCATGTGCATCAATAAGCCTTGGGCGACCATGATCCTGGTTCACCGGTTGTCCTTCTCTGCACCACTTTTGGTAGGTGCTAACCATATGGAACACCCCCCAAACACTTTCTGTTATGGAGATTCTCTGACAAAGTCATCTAGTAATCACTATTTGGCATTTGTCATAGTAATTCATATCTTTCTGCTTGACGATTTTTTTTTTTTTTTTTATAAATTCTTTATTTGTGAAGAATTTTGGGGTAAGGGTACAGAAGAGAAATAGGGAGTAGACAGTTACAATATGAGTCATGCTCAATTTGCTTTTCTAGTTCAACCAGTTTCATTTTGGTTAACACATTCTGTCTAGGTGTTTGCGATCTTTGCTTCTTTATCTAGTGCTTCCTTTTGTTCTGTGTGGTGGTTCGATTGTCTACTGATTGGGACGGGGTACAGAAAAAGGAGGGGAAGGGGGTAGGATACCCTATTGTGTTGCCTTTTTGTCGTTAAGCTATTACAGTATCCTCTTACTAAGTTTTGGGTCCGGTTTGTCGTGAACCTTTCGGTTCTGTGAGTGTGTGTATTGGCTGTGTTTGGTTGTTGGGTCACAGCACTCCTCTGTGTTGTCTTTGGGCGGGAAGAGGTATGGGTCGGGTAGCATGTGTGAGGTGATTGTCTGTCTTTTCGACTCTAACAGGCTTGTGCATCGTTTTGGGTGATATGTGTGTGGGCGTCCGTGGTGTCATTTAGTCATGTGGGTGTTGGTTTGTGTAGGGGTTTCGGTCTTGAGTGGGTTGTGATTTTTCTGTGTGTCCTGTGGGGTAGGACTTTTCGCCCCGTGCTCCCTGTGTTGGTGGGTGGGTGTTTGTTCTGTTCTCTAAGTGATCTTTTCCACGTGTCCACCTTCCTTCTCTTTTGTTTTCTAGGTCCAGAGGTGGGCATGCCCCTTGCGGGTTCTTGTGTATTTTCAGGTCTCAGTTGTTAGTAGTTAGTAGTTAGTTTCCCTCTGTAGGGGGTATTTGTGTGTTGTGTGTTAGCTGGGTTAGGTTGTTCTTTTAGGAAAGTGTTATGGGGAGGCTCGCTCTTTTGCGGTGAGGGCGTGTGTTGTTTCACCTTGTGGGGTGTTTCCCCCGTTTGATATTTAGGGAAGGGTTGGGAATTCATAGATCCAGGGGTCCCAAATCTTGTTGAAGTGTTTGGTCGTGTCGTGAATTAGGGCGGACACTTCGTCCATTTTTATTGTGTCTTTGATTTTTCGTTTAACTGTGTCTATGGTTGGTATGTCCGGGCTTCCCCATTTTTCTGCGATTGTTCTTCTCGTGGCCAGGGCAATTTTGGCAACGAGTTTGTTTTGGGCCCTTGGGGTGCCTGCCATGGGTTTGGACAGGAGCCAAATCCATGGGTCTAGTGGGACATTTGTATGTAGGACCTGTGATACCATGGTCGCAGTTTGGTGCCATAGTTGCGCTGTGTTGGGGCATTCCCACCACATGTGGAGGTACGTTCCCTTCTGTCCACAGCCCTTCCAGCATGCGTCGTTGTCTGACCTGCCCATCTGTTTGAGTTTTAGGGGGTGAGATACCACCTCATGAGCGTCTTGTAAGCTTGTTCTTTATGGTTAACGCATATTGAGATGGTCGCTGTGGCTTCCCAAATATCGGCCCAGTCTGATGGTTCTGCCGCTGGACCTATATCTCTCTCCCAAGCCGACACGTATGTGAGTGCTCCGTCTTTAATGTGTTGTATTATGTGTGAGTATATCTCTGATATTTGGCCTTTGCGTGCTGGTGTTTGTAGGCATTGTTTTTCGAAGTGGGTCATCGTTCTGGTCCCCCCCTGTGCTATTGTCGGTGTTTCCAGGAAGCTTTTTATTTGTATGTGGCGGAACATGTCAAATGTGCGGAACGGGGTGGTTTGTGGAAGCTCTGTGAATAGGATTGGTGCGCCATCTTTGTAGAAGTGGTATAATCTGGTTAGGTCATTGTCTTCGAAGCGCGTGAAATCTTTGGGCGTCATGCCTGGTGGGAATTGTGTGTTCCGGAGTATGGGGGTTAGCGGTGATGGTTGGGTTGTAAGCCTGCTTTTGTGTGTTATTTTATCCCATACCTTGATGGTGTTTAGGATTGCGGGGGATGTTTGGGGTAGGGGGGGCCTCGCTGTGCCAGGTAGCCATATGTACATGGAGGGGAAATCCCTGCCAAATATATCATGCTCCAGGTCGACCCATCTTTTGGCCCCTGGTATGATGTGCCAATTCTGCGCTTGTGTTAGCTGTGCGGCCTGATAGTAGTGGGTGAGGTGTGGTAGGCCTAACCCCCCTTGTTTATTGGGTACGTATAGGGTTTGTCTTTTTATCCTGGCACGCCTGTTGGCCCATATAAATTTATCAATCTTGGTTTGCAGCTGTTTAAAGTCTGTGGCGCGTATCGGGATTGGGAGGGTCTGGAACAGGTATAAAAGTCGCGGCAAGGCATTCATCTTAACGGATGCCAGCCGGCCAAGCCATGATATCGGCATGTTTTGCCATCTTTCGATATCGTGGGTGATTTTTTGGGATCGTGGGTGTGTAGTTCAGGTCGTAGCATTGGGAGAGGTCTGCTGGGATGGTTATGCCCAGATATTTTAGGTGGGTGAGTGTGAGGTCGAATGGGTATATGTCCTGTATAGCTATTTTGGTGGTTGTGTCTATGTGTATCGGGAGGGCCTCCGTTTTGTCGATGTTGAGCTTGTATCCCAAGACTTTGGCGTATGCTTTTAAGGCGTCTAGGAGTGGTGGTAGGGATGTTGCTGGTTCTGTAATTGTAAGGAGCAAGTCGTCTGCGTATGCCGCTGTTTTATATTCTTCTTCACGTATTTTCATTCCTTTTATGTCCCTGTTGAGTCTGAGAGATTGTAGGAGTGGTTCTAGGGACAGTGCGAAGAGTACTGGGGAAAGTGGACATCCCTGGCGTGTACCGTTATGGATTGTGAAGGTCGGGGGGTGTGTGAGAGGGAGGAGGAGATGTGCTTGTGGTGTGGTGTAGAGTATCTGTAGGGCGTTTATAAAGCTTCGCGGGAATCCGAATTTCTCTAGGGTGGCGAATAGGAAGGGCCATAACAGTCTGTCAAATGCCTTTTCGGCGTCCAATGATAGGAAGAGAGTTGGGATGCGTCTCGTGTGGGCTGTCCAAATGAGGTTGTATGTACGTCTTGTGTTATCACTCGCCTGTCGTGACGGTATGAAGCCCACTTGGTCTGGGTGTATGAGTTTGGGTAGGTTGGGGCTTAGTCGGTCCGCTAGGGTTTTAGTGAATAATTTAATATCTACATTGAGGAGTGAGATAGGACGATAGTGTCCGGGTTCAAGGTTTGTTTTGTTGGGCTTGGGGAGGAGGCATACATTCGCTTGTAGCATGTCGTTCGGTAGTTGGTCTCCCTGTAGTATGGCGTTGTATAGTGTGCAGAGGTGTGGGATCAAGATGGGGGCGAATGTCTTATAGTATAGCCCTGTGAACCCGTCTGGGCCCGGGCTTTTGTTGGGTTTGAGTGCTTTTATCTGTCCTGCGAGTTCTTCTGGTGTTATGGGGCTGGCAAGGACCTGTGCTGCTTCTGTGGATAGGGAAGGCAATGGGATTTGAGTTAGGTAATGGTCTATTAGTGTTTTGGTTGACATTGGGTGTTGTCGTGTTTCAGGGGTGTGGTCGTATAGGGTACTGAAGTAGTCTTGAAAGACTCTGGCTATTCTCTCTGGATCTTCTGTGGTTTCCCCTCTCGGGGTGGTTATTTTGTGTATCCGTTTATTTTCGCTTCTCTGTTTGAGTCTGCGGGCAAGTAGCGTGTCAGCTTTGTTAGCCTTGTCGTAGTATAGCTGTTTTGTCCAGAGTAATGCTTTGGTTGAATCTTTTGCCATGTGTTCTTTAATCTTGTTTTGGCATGTCAAGATTTGCTCATTGAGCTCTTGTGTTGGTGCTATTTTATGTTTTGCCTCCAGGGTTCTTAGGGTCTGCAGTGTTTGTTC